TCTAGTCATATATGACTCCACAACACTAACCAAGCCTCTTCTTGCCTCTCAAATCTTTGATGGTGTAGATGAAGTCCGTATGAGTCTTTGGCTTTGTATCTTCTAACAAGGAAACACTACTTAGGCTTTTATGATCGAGTTGCGGTTTAAGTTCTTATACTCAATCATACACATCACATTAAGTCATATTTGACTCCAAAACACTAACTAAGCTTCTTCTTGCTTGTCAAAGCTTTGATGGTGTAGCCGAAGTCCATATGAGTCTTTGTCTTTGTATCTTCTAACAAGGATACAATACTTAGGCTTTTAAAATTCGGTTGCGGTTCTATTTGTTATACTCACTCATACAAAGCATAAGTATGAGTGAGTATAACAACTAGAACCGCAACCAGATCTTAAAAGCCTAAGTATTGTATCCTTGTTAGAAGATACAAAGACAAGCACTCATACAGACTTCGTCTACACCATCAAAACTTTGAGAAGCAAGAAGAAGCTTTGTTAGTGTTTTGGAGTCGAATATGAAATGATGTGAGAGCTAACCTTACAGGCATTACGAAAAAGTACCTTTAGGTCAAAATTTGGGAGAAAAAAAAAAATGAAAAAATTTCATTGTCCTTCCTGTTTCGTCGGAGGGCTCTCTCTGGGCTTTCCGAAAAGGTATCACATGCCAAGTTCTCATAATCTAAAAGTTATTGAGTCATAAAAGTTTTAACAAAAAAAAGATAAAAACTAAAAAAAAAAAAAGGGATGCAACACGAGGACTTCCTAGGAGGTCACCCATCCTAATACAACTCTCGCCCAAGCACGGTTAACTATAGAGTTCCGATGGGATCTGGTGCATTAGTGCTCGTATGATCACATCGGTTACTACATCCAATGAAATCGTATGTATTCTTTTTTGAAGACTTTATGATCTATTCGCCGTGGGTCCCACCAGTTATGTAGGAATACCATATCTTGTTTATTCGAGCTTTGATACATGCAAAATATTCAAAACAATGTTCGAACATATAATTTTTGCCCCGTAATATAGCATAGATCACGAAAAGGCCCAAAAAAGTACCTTATGTTCAAAATTTGGAGTAGGAAAAAAAACCAATGGAATTATTCCATTGCCCTTCCTCTATGTCGGAGAGCTCTCTTTGAGCTTTGCGAAAAGGTATCTCATCCCAAGTTTGGACTCACAGTCTAAAAGTTATACGGTCATAAATTTTTAACAAAGAAAAAGAGAAAAACCAAAAAAAAATGAGGGATGCAACACGAGAACTTCTCAGGAGGTCTTCCATCCTAGTACTACTCTCGCCCAAGCATGCTTAATTGCGGAGTTCTGATGGGATCCGGTGAATTAGTGCTGGTATGATTGCATTTGTTTATATATGCAATGCAATCGTATTTATTTGCTTTTGAAAACTTTAAGAACCATTTGTCGTGGGTCCCACCCGCTATGTAAGGATACCCCATCTACTTGATAATAGGTTTTTAAGATCAATTAATCCTAAAGCAATATCATGTCGTTGTAGTACTGAATGTTGTCAATCCAAAAGGGTATGATGCTAGCAATCAAGATGCAATCAGAGTTCACAGAGTCAAGCCAAGCAATAATAGGTTTTGGGGTTTCTAGTAGGCCTAAGTGAACATGCAGAAAACAAAAATTCAAGCAGAAACAGTTAAAACACTCGACCAACACAGCTCGTTGCCAAGCACTGGGTGTGGTCGAGTGACAGGTCGAGTAACAGACAGAAAATGTAACAGGGATTCTCGACTGCACAGTCTCTTGCCAGACAACTGGGTAGTTGCCAAACAACTGGGTGGTCGAGTATCACGCAAAAAATGCAAAAAGTAAACAACATGCAGCAAGATGCAGTAAACAAAGCAGATTAAACAAAGAAATCAATTAGATGAGAAAGTCCCGAGGATGGGGTAATTGAGTAGTTTCGTTTCCTCAGTTTACAGGTGATTGACATGCTCAATAAATTATCCCTAGAAAACAAGTTCGATAACCAAATCTAAATGCCACCGCAACAGAGACCCTCAAGTTAAACCAGTCCCAGACTCAATCACCATTGACGAGAGCTAACCTAACAGGCATTACGAATCAACAAGTTAAGCCAAAACGCTCCTTGTAACCAATACCTTTGTACAGAGCCATCAATGTCTGGGCTCAAATTCCAGTTGATCAAAAAACAATATGCATTAAGAATAACTAATCCATAAGGGATCTATAAATCAAACTCAACCACCTAACATACTGAGAATTCTAAACTATTCTAACCCATCCTCAGAAACCTAGTCACTACTCAAACATCATTGTAGAAAGAATAAACGATGATAAGAATGAAAACATGATAGCAACAGAGTAATATCAAGATGATAACATGATGAACAACTTAGTAAACGAAATGAAAAGCAAATACTGAATAGATTAAGAGAAATTCGGATTACAAAATGTCAAGAACACACAGTGTCTGCCGAATTAAAACTTTTTTGGAAAATGTAAAGTACATGCTACTTATAGCAAAATATTTTGAAACCCTAATACTTAAAACGACACAGTATTGGGATGGATTTAAGAACGGCACTCGACCCAGGTGGTCGAGTGATTGGTCGAGTGGTAAGCTGGAGTCTTCTTCTCTTCCTTATGCTCGAGTGTCTGATTGAGTGTAGAATGGAGAAGACTTTGAAGCTGGCAGTCGAGTATGATGTCGAGTGGTGGATGATGGTGGTACTCGACTATGTAATCGAGTGGAGGGGATCGAGTGAACGTGGAGTGGTAGAGATGGTGATACTTGACCAGGGTGTCGAGTGGTGGAGAGAAGTGGTGATGCCTTCTACTCGACCAGGGGGTCGAGTGGTGAACCAGAGTGTTGCGGTCGAGTGACTGGCTGCGGAGGTGTGATCGGGTGCTTCAGAAATTCCAGGATGGCAGTACTCTACCTCAGGGTCGAGTATATTGATATGATCAGGTCCATTTCATCCAATTAGCTTGCCAACAGCTCCAAATCACCTGAAAACAACATAAGTATGCAACATTCATGCAAAATTATCCTAAACATGCAAAGTGATGACAAATGATGAGAAATGGTATAAAACAGTGGTAATATGATGCTAATGTGATGACAAATGGATGCTCAAAATATGTAAAATGCACACTTATCAACTCCACAGACTTAGTCTTTGCTTGCCCTCAAGCAAACAATTAAGAACAAGCTGGAGGTGAGGTTTGAAAGCAGAGACTCAGAGCCAAAGCACCAGATAAATCAAATTAAATCAATGTCCAAGTTGGTAGTTATAAGCTGCGATATGATCGAATTCTACTCAAAAACGTTAGCTAAGCCTTGTTATTAATCAATCCGACTCTTATGCTCGACCTACACATGTTTTCAAATCTACCAATCCTTTTAACATTCATTAGTTCTGGAACATGAATCAAGCAATGCATCATCAGTGAACTCATTTGGCTAAGGTATAGGTCAAGAGACAAAGATGGTCCCTTACAAAATAGGCTTCAGTAAATGGGGATCTCTCAAAAATGATTAAGCTTTAGCAAAATGCTAAAGGTAAGTCCCAAGCTATGCATATAGAGATAAAATCCCATCTACCCAGAGTATAACCAATGAAGCTCTAATGGTAATCCCATCTCCAGTCTCAAATTAAGAATTTACCTATACTCTTTGCATTCATGAATTTTTTAAGCCCTTTTTCTAATCATTCTTTTCTTTTCTCAACACTCTGATACATCTAGCAAATTTGGATTTCTTTAACAACTAAGGTTTTTGTTTTAAATTTTTAAAACGAGGGCTTTTGACTTTCTTCATTAGCTAACAAGAACCCTTTTATTTTTTTTACAAATTCCAAAACCTTTACTAGATTTTTTTTCTTCTTCTTTACCCTACTTTACCTAGAGTCTTTTACCTTTTCTTATCAATGAATCCACCCTTTTTTTTCTTTTAGACATATCCCAACCCAAAGTATAAGCGTCCACCTAGTCCTATCTAGTCCGGATAATGCGATCTAGAACTACATGAGACACTATCTCTGTCGTTACGAACCTAACACTTTCTACCAAGTTTAATCGGAATAAGACCTCACAAACACTTTCTACCAAGTTTAACTGCTTTAATAAGGAGAGTCAGTTACTTGGATTAACAAGAGCTGTTAAAATGAGTAAGAAAATCCAAATATTTTAGGGTATCCATGAGTTGAAATTTGATGCAAACATGATAATTGAAAATCAGATTCAGGTTCAAACTGATAGGGAATGATATCAGATCATGACGATCATGACAGTGTGGTCGAGTAGAGCAATCTAGGCATGGTGCAGTTTTACTTCAATTTCATTGACTAGAGATCAGACAACTAACAACAAGGGCACTGAGTTTATCTTGTGAACCAAAATGCTTACAAGGCTATCTCATCATTATCCCCTATGCATATGCAATAATCCTAAATGAAACACTCTAGACTCGATCCTAAATGTAATGCCACTACATGAACACTTTGTTTTTGTGAAATCATTTTCTGAAATTTTTCAAATTTTTTTGGTTTTTCTATGCCTTAGATGAATGCAGAGTCGAGAATATATACAATGCAACGCACTTCCTAAGCCCTCCCCCAAACTTAAATCACATTGTACACTGGGTGACTAAACTTGGAAGACAAATCACAGAAACAAAATAAAAACAAGAGATGATATATAACAATGGTGAAGTGAGGCGCTTACCTCAGTCGAAGAATGAACGGAGTTGGTCATCAATGGCTGCCTATGATTGCTCCCAAGCCATTTACGAGTCGCCCTGTTCTGTATCAGCTCCAGCATGTGGGTACTCGACCTCATCGGCTTTGTGGCGGCCAGCACCACTTTGAGGATACTCGACCTCTCTCCTTCTGCTGCAGTCAGCACCGCGATCGAGTGATCTCCTCGAGTGGATAAAGCGTGATCTGCTGCTAGAGCGAACGAGCGTAGCCTTCTTCCTCTTTTAGTGTTCCCGGGACTCGAATGACGAATGTCTAGCAGGGACATGTGAGACTCTCTGCTCACTAGGCTCTGGCATGTCCTGACTTGGCTCAGGCACTCAAACTCTTGCTCTCCCTCGCTGGAGGTACATCCTCACTACAATGATACATGGTCATACTCCACTTCTCTGTCTTCGTCCATCCCATCCTCGGTAGCTTCTTCTGTATGAACATCCTCATATGTTGGCTGAGCGTTCTCGTAATAGAGGTTATCGAGCTCAAGCCTGAAATCAATGTTATCTCCCTCTATTATGCGTGTAACCTCAGAACTAGCGAGAAGGATGTTGGCTTTCTTATCTGTAGAGTGCTCAAATTTGAAACGATGCATGTCGCCAACCATTGCGAACTCAAGGATTTCATAGTGATGTAATTGCTCGATATCCATTGCCCGTGGTTCAAGTCCATCAGATGTCTTTGGGACTCCACAAGCGATCAGAATCGGTGTCACAACACCTCCTATGCAAAGAGCGCCTCGTGCTCTCTTGTGGTTATTGTTGACAGACCAACTCTTGTATCCACACAGGTTTATCAGAAGAAGTATAGAGAGATATGTGTCATTGGTTTCACCTTGGAGAGACATATTGTTCTTGGTTTGGCGGAGAGTGCCTTTGAGAGCCAAAGCGATCATCTCCATATCAGAATTGGTGACAATCCATGTTATCTCTCGGGAGTAGAGGACATTAGCTACATAATGCTGGAAGTACCTGATGATAAGACTGCGTATCTGATTGCTCTTGGATCTAGAAGAATTCAGCGGTACAGAGCTGCCAATGGTGATCCATAAATCTTTCAACTCTTATCTGTCAAACTTGGGCTTAGTACCCGTTCCACTGGGAAACTGAACAATCCTTCCATGCGCTTGATTGATAGCATATAACCCTGACCATACACATAGAATTGCAAGAATCTCACTCCTTCACTTTCCAAATCATCAGAGGTCATACCTTGGTAAAGCTCCACTTGTAGTGTGGAAAGAAACTGAATCGTTTATTATTCATAGGCTACATATGAGTAAGCCATCAAAGTGTCCAGGTGACAACTCTGGTACATGTGCTGAACATCCTCCAGTAATCCAAGCTGTGCCAGCGTAGTCGAGCAAGGATATCTTGTGCAGTAGAACTCATTCAGCTTGAAGAGCCTGATATACTCCTCAGCTGGCAATACATCAGGTTTGTGCAGAAGTTCTGTGGCTCTGCGAGTATGCGTAGGCATATACTCGTCCTCCAGATCCTCATCTATCAGCACATACCTCTTTGTCATTGCTCTCTTCCCTCGAGCTACCTCAGCTTTTCTCCTGAAGTTATCATATTCTCTCTGTTCTCTTTCTGGCCTTGAAGATGAAGACTCAGCCTCATCCATGTGATAGTCAGGATCCATTGACGAACCGTCACTGTAATTGCTCATGATAATCCTGAAAAAGATTGAGAACTCAAAACTCAAATGTCAATAGGTTAGTCTTAAAGAAAACAATGAAACCAGAATCGTTATCAACAGAGAATGAAATGGACCAAGTTCGTCGAGTATAATCTAGTACTCGAGTAAATCGACGCATTCCCGAGTTCTTCTTTCACAATTTGAACCGAGTAGAACATGAGGTTGAGTAAAGTTGAGGAAGTCGTGTACAACCGGTGAAATTAGGCGGTCGAGTACTTCGATGGTGAGCCGGAATTGGCGAGGACAGAATCACGGATCGACGGTCGAGTAGCAGAGATGGTGAACTTGGTAATGGTAGTGAGGCGTTAAAGTCGAGTGGTCGGAATCGAGTAGTTCTCGGCTAAAATCGAGTAGTTCTTGAGGTTTCGACGGTGAATAAGACAGGGAACTTGACTGCAGCAGCGTAGAGGTGGTCAAGTAGATGATTCTTTTCACGGCAGTCGAGTATGACGAGTGGTGCTCCGGTGTCTTTGCTCTTCGCGGTCGAGTAAATTCGTTGGACGAGAGAGAGATGGCGATTTATGGCGAAGGAGAGAGATTGGAGTGTCGGTGGATGGATGAAAAGAGATTGGTCGAGTAAACATACTTTTTGTTAGGATGAGGGCAATTTCAAAAAGTGTTGTGGAGATTGAATTTGTGATTCTCTTTCCATCTTATTTTCAGGGAGAAAACGAGTGTGGTCCACGCTCTGTTGTTTTGTCTTTAAGCACTGTTCCCTGTTGACTGGGAAAACCTCAGGAAATCCTGAAATCCTCTACAAATCTCTGTTGGTCGAGTAAACGGTCGAGTATAAAGGATCCAAATCATCAAATTTACTCGACTACAGATCCTCATTAGCATGTGGCCAGTGTGATCGAGTGACATCTTGGAGCTCCAATTGAAACCATGTTTATGCTCGATTGCACACAGACAATCGATCTCTACGACATGCGGTCGAGTGAATCTCTGAGATTGGATCCATTACACTTAAACATTGGCGGTTATCTCCTGAAAACACTAGTAAAACGCATCAAAAATAACAAAGAAAACAAAAAATATGTACAGAGAAAGGCATGGGACTTCCTCCCAAGTGACCTTGTTTTAAGTCATTAGCTCGACACCATTACTCCTTTAACCATCAAGAAGTTCCGGGAGATGAACCGACGTCACCTCTGGAAAGATTTGATCTGCTAAGTATTTCTTGAGCCTTTGACAATTTACTGTGAAATTTTCACTCTTACCAGCAAGAGTGACTGCTCCATAAGGGCGGACTTCACTGATACAAAACGGACCAGACCATCTAGACTTAAGCTTTCTTGGAAAAAGTTTGAGGCGAGAGTTGAATAACAGCACCTGATCTCCAACTTGGAAATCCTTGGTGATGATCTTCTTGTCATGGAAAAGCTTGGTCCTCTCCTTGTAGATTTTAGAGCTCTCATAAGCTTCTAAACGGATCTCATCAAGGTCACTAAGTTGGATCAATCGCTTCTCCTCAGCGGTATTTATGTCAAAGTTCAGTAGTTTAACCGCCCACATATCTTTGTACTCGAGCTCAACAAGTAGGTGACATGATTTTCTATAGAGAAGATTGAAGGGAGTTGTACCAATGGGGGTCTTGAAAGCTGTCATGTAAGCCCACACTGCGTCATCGAGCTTTGCAGACCAGTCTTTCCTTGTAATCCCAACAGTCTTTTCCATAATTGTTTTTATCTCCCTATTGGAGATCTCAACATGCCCGCTTGTCTGTGGGTGATAAGGTGTAGCGACCTTGTGCTTTACTCCATGCTTCTTCAGGAGGTTCTCGAAAACCTTGATGAAATGCTTTCCACCATCACTGATTACTACCCTCGGAACTCCAAATCTCGGGAGGATTATGGTCTTGAACAGTTTCAGCACAACTTTCGCATCGTTAGTAGGACTGACCATAGCTTCGACCCACTTTCATATGTAATCTACGGTTACCAGTATATACTTGTTACCGTATGAAGATGGGAATGAACCCATAAAATCAATTCCCCATACATCAAAGATCTCCATTTCCAAGATTGGGTTCTGAGGCATCTCATTTCTTCTGCTAATGTTGCCCTTTCTCTGCCTGAGCGTCTTTAAACATTGTTGGCCACCAAAAATCTACTTGCAGAATCTTTGACACTGTCTTGAATGTCGCGAAGTGGACACCATATGCAGAGCCGTGGCAATGTAGCAGGATACCTTCTACTTCATCTTCTGAGACGCATCTCCTGTAAATCTTATCTTTACAGAGAGTGTAAAGGTAAGCCTCATCCCAGTAGTAAGGGTGTATGTCCCTAAAAAACTTCTTCCTTTCATAACTGGTCAACTTGGGAGACTCTACTTCGCATGCCAAATAATTGACGTGATCAGCATACCATGGAGATCTTCCCTCAATAGCACTCAGTTGGTGGAACTCTTTGCCACTGTAGCTCCCACCGAAGAATTCTACAACCATGAGTTGCTCTTTTGGCATTGAGTCGTCTATTTGAATAGGTTCTTCAATTCTCATCCTTGCCAGATGGTCAACTGCACCATTTTCAATGTCCTTCTTGTCTACTATATCCATGTCAAACTCTTGCAACAGAAGTATGCATCTCAACAGTCTTGGTTTAGTATCCTTCTTGGCATACATATGCCTCAAAGTTGCATGGTCTTTATAGACAGTGACCTTGGATCCAACCAAATAGCTTATGAACTTCTCAAATGCGAAAACAACAGCTAGAAGTTCCTTCTCAGTTGTTGCATATTAATATAGCTCAAATTGCCTTAAGCTTACTCCCTCAAATAAGAGATCGTCGTTAGCACTTTGATAATAGGTTTTTAGTCAATTATCCTAAAACACCAATCATGTCATTGCAGTATTTTAGGTTGTCAATCCAAATGGGTGTGATGCTAACAATCAAGATGTGATCAAAAGTCACTAAGTCAAGCCAAGCATAACAGGTTTTGGTGTGTTCCAGCAGTCCTAAGTGAACATGCAGAAAACAGAAAATCAAACAGAAACAGTAAAACACTCGACCAACACAGCTCTTTCCAGAGCTCTGGGTGAGGTCGAGTGACAGGTCGAGTAATAGACAGGAAATGAAACAGGGATACTCGACTGCACAGTCTGTTGCAAGACAACTGGGTGGTCGAGTATCAGATCGAGTAACAGTAAAGAATTGCAGAAACTAAGCAACAGATGACAGGATGCAGTAAACAGTAGTAGAGTAAACAAAAAAATCAATCAGATAAAGAATTCCTAAGGATGGGATAATTGAGTAGTTTCGTTTCCTCAGTTTACAGGTGATTGACATGCTCAATAAATTAACCCTAGACAACAAGTTCATTAACCAAATCTAAGTGCCACCGCAACAGAGACTCTCAAGCTAACCTAGCCCCAGACTCAATCACCATTGACGAGAGCTAACCTAACAGGCATTACGAATCAACAAGTTAAAGCCAAAACGCTTCCTGCAACAAATACCTTGGTACAGGGTCACGAATCTTTGGAATTAGTGGTTTAGACATTTCATCGAACACCTTTTGGGCGCGGAAATGTCTGGGCTCAAATTCCAGTTGATCAGAAAGCAATAGGCATTATGAACAACTAATCCAGAAGGGATCTATCAATCAATACTCAATCACCTAGCATACTGAGAATTCTACACTACTCTAACCCATCCTCAGAAACCTATTCACTACTCAGACATCATAACAGAAAGCATAAACGTTGA